GACAAACGTACACCTCGTCGTGAATCACTGGAGCCAAACCCGACGTACGCAGCCATCGCCCAAAGCGAACCATCAAGGAAAAGACACCTGGTTCTTGGACAGCTGCTGCGGACAGCACATGTGTTCTTCAAGTCGCTTCGTTCAGCGGGAACAGCGCCTCAATCGAGAAGTCGTCATCACCATCGCCAACAACCAGAACCTGCACACACGACGACAAGGGATAGTTCAACTTCAATCCCGCGAAACTAACGTCATTTTACAAATGTCTAAGGTCCTAATCGTACAAGGACTCGGCTACAACTTACTCAGCGTCAGTCAACTGATGGCGAAGGGAATTCACCTCGAAGCAGACAGCACCACTCAGGAGTTCAGGTTGTACAACGGAAAAGGTGGACTCTACATCAGGAAGGCAGTCCTGAAGAACAACATCTTCGTCCTCGACTTTGTTCCAGATCAAGGCACCACCGACAGCGACGCAATAGTCAGCTTCACCAGGTGGACACACCCGCCAGATCTCGACCCCGACTTCAGTCCTGGAGGCTTCTAGTACTTGCACACCATACCTGAGGGAGAAAGAACAAGAGCATTAGCTGTGATTCAACAAACCGCAACAACATCGGCAGCAGTAGAAGGAACAACATCGACAGCAGCAGAAGCAACATCGGCAGCAGCAGAGACAACAACGACAGCAGCAGCACCAAACCTCCTTAGTGCAGGACCCTCAACGGCACCACCTCATCTCGGGGAATCGACACCAACTCCAGCCCGACAGCTGACTCCAGTTCCACGCGCCATCCACCGTAGTGCCAACGTCGTCGTCAGCTTCTACTCTAACTCCGACCTATACAGACGATCTCCTGGACCTCGAGCCGACGAATCACTGTGGCACGAGAGGTTAGGCCATCCCAGCAATACAACACTTAATAATACGATCAGAGCGGGCGTTCTCGACAAAGATTCACTACTACTACCTGACGAAATAGAACTACAACGAGTTCGAGGGACATGTTTTGCCTCTCCAAAAGCTGACTTACCACATCAGCCGTTCCCTTCTCACCACAACCCGAGTGCGCCAGCTTACGCGCCGTTGGAGAAAGTCTACAGCAACATCTTGTACGCCCGCGACAGTGGACAAGGCGATTACAAATATGTAATCACCTTCATCAACGCTGCAACGAGATATGTTTGGCACCTTAACTTGCCAAGCCGCGACATAGCCTTCAAAGCCTTTGTCGCGTGGCTGCCGGTAGCAGAAAGAGAGTCAAGCAAGAAATTGAAAAGTTTCCAGTCGGACGGAGGGGGAGAATATCAGTCACAACAATTCAAGCAATACCTGGCGGAGAAAGGCATCACGAGACTCATCTCCCTACCCTACGCCCACCAGCAGCAAGGCGTAGCAGAAAGAATGAACAGGACCCTCCAGAACACCATGCGCAAGCTGCTACGTGGCATGCAACTACCCCAGAGCCAATGGCCTGCAGCAATGGACCATGCTGTCATGCTGCACAACTTGCTCTCGTCGTCCTCACTTCCGAACAACGCATCACCGCATCTGCTGTGGACCGGGAAGTTGGGCAACACAAAAATGTTACAAGTTTTTGGATACATGGTACAATACCGACCTCACACAGCACGAGCCGGAAGATTTTCACAACGCGCACAGTGGGGACTACACCTGGGCATCGAAAAACATTACAACGCGTGGAAATTTTTCAGCGTCCACTCGAAGGAAACAGTAGCAGCACGTGACGTTATCTTCTACGAACGTCTCTCTCTCTCGACGTACTTGGCCAACGTGGCAGCTGAGCAAGACCCCACAGGTGGCTTCCGTGGCAACCGAGCCTTCGCCTCGTCAGCCGAAGAAGCTGGCCGGGATGAGCAGAACGTGGACAGAGCCTCGGAGGAACCCGGACCATTGCCCTATTGCTCAGTAATCGTCTCGATGGATGAAGACAACTCTCGCGAAAGCATCAACGCCGAAGTCTTCTACGACCTCGCCGACAACGGTTACGTCACACGGCAGCCCGTCAACACAAATGAATCTAAACGTATCGGACCCAACTTCTTACCTGACCTAGAAGCGGGAGACGGAGTAGTTTATCCCGAGGACGCAACTCTTCCCCGACACTCACAAAGTTGACTTCAGATACTCGGCGTCGTCACCGCCGTCCACGGCGCATTGCCGCCTAAGGAGCTTGCAACCATTCAGCAGGCTCTTGGGGGGGGGGGGGGGGGGGGGGGGGGGGCACAGGGAAAAATGGCGCGAAGCCATGGACTGAGAATCAAAAGCGCTGGAAGAAAGGAACACTTGAAAGATACTGCCCATTGGAGTGGCATGCAACAAAATCATACTGACCGGAAAGTGGGTCTTCCGCGTGAAGACAAAGGCAGACGGAACAATTGACAAATTCAAGGCGCACTGGGTAGTGCGCGGCTTCGACCAGGAACACGGGCGAGACTTCACCAAGACCTTCGCACCGTTCAGCCGACACACCTCACAGCGAATTCTCCTCGCGATAGCCGCCATGAAGCGGAAGAAGCTACGACAAATCGATGTAGCCGACGACTTCCTCTATGCCCCCGTTGACGCCGAAATCTTCGTCGAACAACCACACGGTTCCAACACAGACCCCAATCAAGTCTGCCAATTGCTGAAGTCCCTGTTGTCAGAATCTAGCAGCAGGAATGAATGCATTGAGTAGAAAGTTGATACAAGTACAGACCCTAACTGGGTTGTACCCCATTTTGGCTACCCCACTACAGCCTACAGAGCAAAATGTTAAGACACACCCCCATAGGTAAGGTGGGGGAGTACAAGCAGTCACAGAAAAGCAAAGCAAGCTCAGGGTGGATCACGACGTCACCACACACTCCGAGCACAAGCAGATGGCCACAAGGCCAGTTTACATGCACAGTTATATAAAACAAAACAAACAGTAAAGTGATCACAACCTAGCAAGAGTAAGCATGCAGGTATATATATAGATTACACTACAAGCAAGGTCAAGCAGTGAGCAAGTGAGAAAACGTGGGCACGAGGCCTAAAGCAGTACACAGACACTGATGATCACCAGGCGGAAGTGCCTTGGTGAAGATAACAGCTGCGTTGGCCCAGGTGGCCATGTAAGCAAGATGAAGCTGGCCACGCTGCTCCAACTTTCGAGCCAGGAAGTAGCGCAGAGCGATGTGCTTCGTTCTGTGCTCCACTCTGTGCTACTGACACAACGCAATAGCAGCCTTGTTGTCTACGTACAGAACTGGAGGAGAAATAGGCCGCTCTCCCAAGTCGGTCAGTAGGTAGGTGAGCTAGCGTAACTCCTGTGCAGCCATGGCTCTTGCGTAGATCTCAGCCTCACAACTGGAACTGAGAACAGAAGACGAGCGAGTAGACCGCCAAGAAACAGAGCCGGAACCAAGGCTGAAGGTGTAACCCTGAGACGATTGTTGCGTAGCCGGGTCGTCAACCCAAGAGGCGTCTAAGTGTCCAGTGAGGACAACGTCACCCCGTCCTCCAAGCACCAGCCCCATGCCTGATGTACTGCACAAGTAGCGTAACACCCTCTTAGCAGCCTCCCAGTGCTCTCGTCGGTGTCTCCCAGGCGCAACGTAGCGAGCCAGGATGCTAAGGGGGTACGCAAGGTCAGGTCGTGTGAAGGTGGAGCTGAGAGCGAGTGATCGGTAGGCAGAGGAGTGGACTGTGGTGAGGAGAACTGGAAGCCGAAGCGCTGAAGGACCTGCTGCACCATGTGTGACTGAGTCAAGGTGATGGTGCGGTGTACTCTGTCCCGGGTGATCTGCAAGCCAAGATAGCTGCGCAGCTCACCCAGGTCAGTGCAGGTGTGTCACTTCGGCAGCTCCGACTTCACAGGGGCCAGTGCCTTAGTGTCAGCAGTGGCAAAGACCAATCAAGTCTTCGACGTACACGAAGAAGTAGAACGGTGGCAGCGAAGTGTCGGTGCGCAGAAACAACGACGGGTCAGCAGTGGAAGGAGCAAACCCAAGAGCCGCAAGTGTCATCCTCGGTGCGTTGTGCCACTCACGAGGCGCCTGGCGGAGACCGTAGACTGGCTGCCGGAGGCTCCACTGGGTACCAGGAGGGAACGACCCAGTGAAGCCAGGTGGGCGACGCAGCCAGATTTCCTCATGCATGCTGCTCTGTAAGAACGTTGTGCTGAAGTCAAAAGAGTGAAGCTCGTAGTCACGCTGAGCGGCAACGTGCAGCAGCACCCGAAGAGTGGTCATCATAGGGGTAGGGGAGAAGGTTTGGAAGAAGTCAACTCCCTGCCGCTGACTGAAGCCTCGAGCAATGTAACGAGCCTTGAAGACAGGCGGAGAACCCGGCGGCTGCTTCACCCTGAAAATCCACATGCCATCGACTATGTTCGCCTCAGGAGGGGGAACCTCGTCGACATAGGTGCCTGTGGACTTCCAGGATGCCATCTCTACGTCCATGGTAGTCTGCCACTGAGAGGAGTAGGGACCCGAAATCGCCTCTACGTAAGAGCGCGGGGTCGGGATGTCCAGTGCATCTGGGTCTCCCTCAGGCGCAAGCAGCAAGGCCGCGAGATGAGGTACAACAGCCGCAAGTTAGTCAAAGTCCTCCTGCCTGTCCTCAAGGACGTCCGTGCCAAGAGCACACTCACCCCCGACGGACGGAGGAAGTGTCATAGTGTGAGTACCGGGCACAGGAGGAGGACGCGGACGAGGGACACGACGAGCACGGCGAACAGTGAGAACACGGGAGGCAGGACGAGGTGGGGCAGGCAGCGGTGAGTCCGGAGGAAGGGCAGTGGACGAAGGAAGACTAAGAACCTGACGGTGAACCGACTCGAGCGGAAGCTCGGACAGCTGCGGCGGCGGCAAGAAAAACGGTCGCTGCTGCACAGGGCCTCCAGCTCCAGCGCCTCCAGCGCCAGCACCTCCAGCTCCAGTAGCTCCAGCGCCAGTGCCTCCACCTCCAGCGCCACCAGCTCCAGTGCCTCCAGCTCCAGCACTTCTAGCTACAGTACCTCCAGCTCCAGGGCCTCCAGCTCCAGCACCTCCAGCTCCAGCACCTCCAGCTCCAGCACCTCCAGCTCCAGTACCTCCAGCTCCAGCACCTCCAGCTCCAGCACCTCCAGCTCCAGCACCTCCAGCTCCAGTACCTCCAGCTCCAGGGCCTCCAGCTCCAGCACCTCCAGCTCCAGTGCCTCCAGCTCCTGCGCGACTCCAAAGGCGGGTGCGTCGGGCAAGCCACTCGTGCAGCTGCTGTGGTGAGAGGGGCTTACGCTGCTGCACAGGGCCTCCAGCTCCAGCGCCTCCAGCGCCAGCACCTCCAGCTCTAGTAGCTCCAGTGGCAGGGCCTCGAGCTCAAGTGCCTCCAGCGTCAGGACCTCCAACTCCAGCGTCTCCAACTCCAATAGCTCCAGCGTCAGTGCCTCCAGCTCCAGCGCCTCTAGCTCCAGCGCCTCCAGCTCCAGTGCCTCCAGCTCCAGCACCTCCAACTTCAGTGCGACTCCGAAGGCGAGTGCGCCGGGCAAGCCACTCGCGTAGCTGCTGTGGTGAGAGGGGCTCACGCTGGGGAGACCGCTGCGGCGAGGCTCCCGGAAGACCACCAGTAGAAGCAGCACCACCCGGCTCAGCACCCCCAGGCTCAGCACCCCTAGGCTCAGCACCCCCAGGCTCCGCACGCTCAGGCATAGCAACCCCAGGCTCCGCACGCTCAGCCTCAACACCCCCAGGCTCCACACCCACAGGCTCATAACCCCCAGACGGAGCACCTCAAGCAGGACCTGAGTCACCAGTGACCTCGACAGGCTCAGCCAAGGGAAGTGGGTCTACCTGAGAGACACCTGAAGGAGCAGGACCCTGAGGGGGGAGGGGGTCTACCGGAGGGGGACCTGGAGCAAGGAAGAGCGGCGAGGGGGGGGAGCTGGGCAGTGCGGTAGGGGAAGAGTCCGTAAAAGGGAACCGACTCGTCAAACGTGACGTCTTGAGAGGGGAAGACACGGCGCGAGGTGGGGTGGTAAAACTGCCAGCCATGCGCGTCAGGAGGGAAGCCAAGGAAGACACAGGGAATGGTGCGGGAGGAGAGCTTGTCCAAGGAGGTATTGTGGACAAAGGCACGAGAACCCCAGACCCGGAACACCGACGCATCGCCAACCTCCCCCGTCCAAAGCAGGGTAGGCGAAGTCTCTGGCAAGGAGACACGGGGCCAGAGGTTGAGCTGATTCGCAGCGTACCGGACCGCAAACGGCCACAGAAAATGGGGAGCAGCCGCATGGATCATGGAGGTACGAGCGACATCCATGACTAAGCCAATGCGGCGCTCTCCAATCTTATTCTGCTTTAGGGAGGCCGAAAGCATGAACGGCTGAAGGATGCCCTCCCCATGACAAAAGTCCCGCAAGAGGTCGGAGGAAAACTCACCACCTCTGTCAGAGTGCAGACGTAGGACGGGAAGGTCCGTGCGGAACCGCTCGCGGAGCTGGAGACGGACAGCGCGGATCCAAGGGATCAAAACATCAGGGACCTCCCCCTTGCTGCGCAAGGGGAAGACCGTGGTGTAACACGAGACGTCGTCAACAACCAGCAGAAAGTATCGCTCGCGGCCCTGTCCCTGGATGCGGGCTGGGCCCCACACGTCCATGTGGAGAGTCTGCAGGGGAGTAGTCTTCGGGGGAAACGAGGAGGAGTGAGGAGCGGCGCGCTGCCGCCCCTCAACGCAAGGAATGCAGGGCGGGGCAGGCGAGGGTGGGAGGGGAGGGAGGAGAGACCGGGGAATACCAGAGGTAAGAAGGCGGGAGTGCATGCCACGGAGGCGTGGCAGGGAGGGGTGACCAAGACGGTGGTGCCAGAGGAGAGTCTGGTGCGACAGGAGGCGACACGAGCAAGAGGCAGCTACCTGACGTGACGCAGACACCTGAGCAGACGCAGCAACTGGAGGAGGCGCAGTAGTCAGTGTGTACAGACTCGACCCAGGCCGACGGGTGAACGTGGCCAGGTGGCGGCCAGTCCGAGAGCACGTGCAGATCGCCACACGCTGGCCTCCAGGGGTAAAGGTATCAACCCCTGCATCCTGAAGGACCGCGTTACTCACCAAGTTCGTCGAGAACGAGGGGAGGTGGAGACCTGACAATGAGCCAGAGAGAACCGCCCGACACGGGAGAACAGTGGAGGAACGTGCAAGAACTGGGCCCTTAGAGGGGTCAGCCAGTAAGACTGCAATGGGTCTAGGGAGTGGTGTGACTGTGGTACTGTCACGAAAGAAGCAGCGAGAAGCACCTGAATCAAGCTTGAAGGTGTGCAAGGCCTCAGCAGGCGCAGTACCAGAGAGAGCAGACTCACTAGCACCTAGAGCAACAGCCTCTATACCTGGGTCGGGCGGCACACACAGGTAACAGTCACCCTCAGTACCAACAGTCAAAGCATACATGGCCGTAAGGATAGGGTCATAGTCTAGAGCAAATATATCCACTCTGGCCCGAAGCAGCTCTAGCCAGCGGGGGAGCTCAGCCTCGTCGCCAAACTCTGTGCGCCAGGAGTCGCTCAGATAGACAAAGCAGCGGGACTGTGTATGGCCATGTGTCCCGCAAGTCTGACCTGTCCGAGCACCTGTGCGAATGACGTACGGGCAGCGAGCAGTACTCCGAGACGCCCCACGCTGAGCGTACCACTCACGGAGCTGCTGGGACGTAAGGGTCACGCGCGGAAGCCGCCGCAGCTGCATCTGGTCACCGCTTGAAACTCTCCACTGAACAGCTCCACCGCAACTGACACTACGGCCGCCGCCTCCACTCCCATTACTGCCACCACCTCCGCCACCACTCCCACCGCGACCACGAAGAGATGCCATAGCGGGCAAAGCAAGGAGGCGTGCGACCAGCAGGGCAGCACGCAGGGAAGGCAGAGCGACGAGCAGGCACTAGGGTAGTGCGTAGGGTAGGGCGGGGGCGGCGCCCGGTCAGTGAAGTGCGGCGCGCGGCCAGAGTAGGGCGGCGCGCTGGAAGTAGGGCGGCGATCGGGCTGGGGAGGGCGCGCGAGCAGGCAAGAGGCAGCGCGCGGGCTGGAAAGGGCGACGCGCGGGCTGCAAGGGCAGCGTGCAGGCTGCCATGGCGGCGCGCGGGCAGAAAAGGGGCAGCGCGCGGGCTGCACAGGGCGGCGCGCATCCAGCAGGGCGACGCGACGGGCAGGGGCAGAGCGTACGGGCGACGCGGCGGGCTTGGGCAGCCCGCACGGGCGACGCCACGGGCAGGGGCAGGTCGTACGGGCGACGCGGCGGGCTGGGGCAGCCCGCTCGGGCGACGCGACGGGCAGGGAAGGGCGTACGGGCGACGCGACGGGCAGGGCAGGGCAGACGGGCGACGCGACGGACTGGGGCAGCCTGCACGGGCGGCGCGATGGGCAGGGCAGGGTCGACGGGCGACGCGACGGGCTGGGGCAGCCCGCACGGGCGACGCGACGGGCAGCAGGGGCGCACGGGCGGCGCGACGCAGGGCAGGGCGTGCGCGGGCAGTGCAACGCGGGGCAGGGCGTGCGCGGGGCGGCGCAACGCAGGGCAGGGCAGAGTGTGCGCAAGGCAGCGCAACGCAGGGCAGGGCAAGGCAACGCGGCAGCCAGCAGAGCGGCACGCGGGCAGGGCAGCGCAACTGGTGGGGCAGCGCGACGGGCAGGGTAGGGCGCTACGAGTAGGGAACTGTACGGTGGGCCCAAAAATCGGTCCTGAAATAGGACCTGCTCTGATACCATGTCGGAATCTAGCAGCAGGAATGGAATGCATTGAGTAGAATGTTTATACAAGTACTGACCCTAACTGGGTTGTACCCCATATTGGCTACCCCACTACAACCTACAGAGCACAATGTTCGTACACCTGTATGGCGTCAAACAAGCTTCGAGACTATGGCAGCAGTACCTACACGCCCGACTAATCCGCATCGGGTTCCGCCAACTACCACACGATCAGGGAATGTATCGACTCACAAGAGGCGCCGACTACGTCCTGCTCATCGTCTACGTAGATTACCTACTCTACATAGGCTCCACCGACGGCATCACAGCATGGTTTGAAGGGGAGCTACAGAAGGATCTGACCCTCACCGTCTCATCTACCGTAACCCAATACCTGGGGCTCAATATCCAAGACGGAGAAAACGCGATCCACCTCAACGCCGCTAAATACGCCGATACCATCGCAAAGCGTTTTGGATTAACGCCAACAACCATCTCCATGCCGTACCGCTACACCGCTGGAAACAACAAGGAAAGCTACGCTCTGCTTGGGCCCGCCGGCATACGCGACTACCATCGAAAATTGGGATGCCTACTCTTCGCAGCTGTTACCTGCCGACCGGACCTGTCATACTCAGCAAGCCAGCTGGCCACCTATCTCAAACGACCCGAAGCAGAATACATGGCGGAGCTCGATCGCGCTCTGCACTATCTCGTCAGCACTCCCACAATCGGGCTGACCTACCACAAAACGGGATCTACAATGCCGAAACTAATCGGTTACGTAGACGTCGACCACGCCGGCGATCCTGATAATCGGCGATCTCGCACGAGGTACATCTACCGACTCGAGCCTATCGGTCCTATCTCCTGGCAGTCGAGCAAACAAGAGCTGATTGCTCTCTCGTCAGCTGAAGCAGAATATATTGCACTCTGCTCAGCCACCAAAGAAGGATTGTACCTTCGCGAACTACTGGAAGAAGCAAAGCTGGCCCAGTTACCCTGCTTCACTCTCTTCTGCAACAACCAGTCTGCAATTCGTATAGCTAACAAGAACGGGTTCGCGAACCTAACGAAGCACATCGCCCTGCGATATTTCTTCGTGAAATATGAGATCGAGAAAGGAAGACTCGAGCTGTCCTACTGCCCCACATCCGAGATGGCAGCAGAAGTTTGAGTACTGCATGCTGCTGACTGGACAGAGCCACGTCACCAGCAACGAAGGCGATGACACTCCAGAAGCGAAGGGGAGTGTTGGAAACATATAGTTCACGCTTCTGAAGTATCGAGCATTACAATGCAAGCGAGACGAACTACAGAGAAGCAACAAGCGAGTCAACCACGGAAGGTTGACACAAGACAACAGTAAGAGGTTAAGTGAAGGTCAAACGACCTTTGACTCGCCAAAAACAGCACGACAGCAAGGACACATAACTGACTCGCTATTGAGCAGTTACCCGAGTCGTCGCTGTATCGAACCGCAACAGCAGCAGTTACAACATCAGTTACAACAGCAGTTAAACCTTTCATATTCCCTTTTAATCATATAAAAGCTTGTATCTCTTTGTTTTAATCAACTCATCTTGTTCTCACATACTAGCTCAAGGTGGTTCAACAAGTTCATTAAGAACGCTTCCGCAAATACATGACAACTCTAAATCTTAGTCTTGAACAATCCTAAGGGCCTTTTTCAGCCCAACTTCCATAAGGGGTACAACCCAATTAGGGTTAGTACTTGTACCCAGATCCATTCTCAATACAACATTCTCGTTCAGTAGTTTTGACAAACCCAATTTACGGTTATTACTTGTACCCATCTTTCCTTCAATGCAACCCATTCCCGTTCAGTATTCTGACGCATCATACATAAAAATTGTGGTAGTTCAGCTTACCGTATTCTCCCGGACAAAACACCCGCCGAAATTGTACACCCCCTGTATTTTTAGCTGTACCCTAAGCTGTTATGTCCATGAGAATACGGTAGTTTGAGGAGATGATTGTATTCCGACTAGCAATATACCGTATTTACCCGGGTAATAAACCCGGGGGTCTAATCCTACCCCGGGAAAAAAAGGGGGGTGGGTCTATTAAGTGGGTGTAAATTTAATAGACCCGGGGTCTAATCCTGTGTGCATTTAAGTTTGAAAGTCATGTAAAATACCAGTGTTCCAGGCCCAAAAACGAGAATTCCAATGTTGAGTCAGGGAAATTTTGACCACAGCCTGACGCGAGGCACTCGCGCGTCAGATTCTGCAGTCAAGTCAGTAAAATTTCGCTACAGCAAGTTGTCCCTTCCTACATTCTCGCTAAAAATAGAGGTGTATACAGTGAGGGGGGTCTAATCCGAATTCGTTACGAAAAAGGGGGGTCTATTACAAAAGTGCACATAGCATTAGAACCCCCCCCATTTAACGACCCAGGGTGTTGGAGTGTGAAGGGAATACACTTAAGCATTCCCGAAGGTGCAGCTACATCGCACCAGTCACTATCGAAGCAGCGCGAGCAGTAAAAGTCGGATCAGCCTATACCAAAGGCAGGAAGGTCAACAGGCGCAAAAGTCAACTGTCGCGACTGTTGACCATCTGGACCGACGATTGACTCACCATCGAGGAATGTCAACAGGCGTAACCGCACGCACGGTTACAAGCAGCGACTCGGTAATGAGAAAGGAAATGCAACAGTCAGAGTCACTGCTGTACTGCCTGTAAAACAGTTATAATAAGGGAATGTACCCCTTAGAGTACATGGCTAGTTAGGACTATTTATTTGCTTGTATTCTATCCTTCAAAACAACTTCGTCATCTACATTCACTATGATCAAGGTTCCTACCAAGACTTCCGCTACCAATTGTCCTAGAGGCACTTTCTATCCTATCCAAGATCCTCACTCTAACATGGTATGAGAGCTAGTTTGGATTATAGGAACTGCCAAAAAGGGTCTCTCGACAAGGACAACCCCTTGCATAATTTACTATAAGGGCAAGCATCATGCCAGGCGCCGACTGCGGAGAAACTGGAGAAACCCCAGTACAACCTTCCACTAATGTTACTTCTACTACAACGACTGTGGACACAGCGCTCCTCGAGCAGCTGATTTCCCGCATCAGCGCACTGGAGAGCCATCAGCCAATGAGCATCGACGGCTCCAGCTACGCCCGAAGACCTCCCGATCCTCAAGGAGCTGGATCAGAAAGATCCTTCACCTTCGACAATCGCGGAGCCCCAGGACCTGCTCAAACACAGCAAGCACATTTCGAGACAATGGCGTCAGTGCATAACAAGTTTCTGACAACATCAAAGCTCAGGACAACAAAGCCCTTCGACGGGCAAGACTTCTACACCTGGAGCTTCGAATTCGAGCTGTTAGCTCAAGGCGCTCAAATCTGGATGTACTACGACGGCTCGTATCCCTTCCCGACTAACGGCTCACCTCAGGAGAAGACGCAGTACTACAACGAATCTCTCCTGGCCTTCACCGTACTGATTCGAAACCTGTCGCCAGAGGAACAACTCAGCATTCGCCCTTTTAAGAACGAGTGGGCACCCGCGCAACAATCCTGGGAGCACCTGCGCACCTGCCACATGGCAACAGATTCGGTGACACTCAGTCGCCTGCTTAACCAGCTGAACAACGTCAGAATGTTCCCCGGCGAAAAGGCCGGATCCTACATCAACCGCTGCAGAAATCTGAGAGACCAATTCAAGAAAAGCGGCGGAAACTTCCCTGACGACATGTTCGTGACAATCATTCTCGCTGGATTAAGCTCGGAATGGCGCCAGTGTAAATCGCTCCTTCGCACTCAAGGAACTGTTAGCGAAACCGCCCTCTGCTCGACGCTCCTCTCCGAACAAAAGGAAATGGACCTGTACAACGAGAGAGGCAACAAGAAGGAGAAAATCGCTTTCTATGCACAAGCGCCACCAGACAAGAAGAGACTCTTCTGCAAGTACTGCAAAAAGACTGGACATACAATCCAAGACTGCTGGAAGCTGAACGGC